CAGTAGTTGTGGCCCGCGGGCTCAGTAGTTGTGGCTCGCAGGCTTAGTTGCTCCGCGGCATGTGGGATCTTCCCGGACCAGGGCTCGAACCCATGGCCGCTGCACTGGCAGGTGGATTCTTAACCACTGCGCCACCAGGGAAGTCCCCTAGCACTCTTAAAATATGAAGACTCAATCATTTTGTGACAAGGTCAAGTCTCATTTCATGGGGCTCCACTTTCCGCCACGACATTTCCTAATTTTCTGCGGGACAGCTTCCTGCTTTTCTGAGTTCTTTAGAGCATTTACTGTAGCCCAGACTTCACACTGGGCACGAAATATTTACCTCGTTCTACCCTTTGCTCCAACACTCAGCAGCTAGTGGGACCTCTCATAGTCCTGCCAACTCTTCTACAATCTTGCCTCCAATCCCTGCCTTTCCCTCCCCCAGCCCAGGGGGTGGGTGGAGAACTCACTGAGCCGCTGAGGCCATTTTGGGCAGCTGTCCTCTTCACCTCTGGCTTGGTCGCAATGATGAGGTAGGTTTCGATGCCCTTCTCATCCAGGTAATCACAGCGGCTGCCCCCATCACCTGGCTCCACGTCAAACTCGCCTTTCAGGCAGTCCATGGTGCTCTGGGAGATGTGCACACGCCTGGGTTCCGGCGAGAGGGGCCCTGAGAACAGGCCTCGTGGCAGCCCCCGCCATACCCCCAGGGACAGAGACGGAGCAGTGATGGGCAAGTCCTGGTACTAAGTGGCTGTGTAGGCAGCCCGGCACCTCCCTTTCTCTGAGCCTCAGCGTTCAATCCATAAGACGGTTTGTCCTCAGGCTGCTGAGGGTATCAAATGAGATAAGGAATTTGAAGTCTGCTCTGAACACTAAGTTCAGAAGGCCTGGTTATCATCCACCTGGTGTGATTCTCCGCTGCAACACCTGCTGTCAGGGGGTAATAACCCATTTCTGGGGAGTCACCACTAGGGAGAGAACTGTCACTGCCTCCGAGAGAAGCCCCCTGACCCAGGCGGGGAAGGTTTCAACACATCCTTGGTCCACCCTGAGGGTGGAGCCTGCCTCACCTGACTGGCCAAGTCTGTAAAGAACTCAGGAAAGATGTGCAGGTGCCTTAGAAGCTGTTAGGAGACTCTTACTGCTAACAGTGCCCTTCGGGGTGACCTGCACACTGAAGGAGCTCCAGCCCTGACCTCAGAGCCCCGAGGCCCCGCAGAGGGTAAAGGGGGCAGGAGAACAGACTCCTGCAGAGCCCCAGGCAGGAAAGGCCCAGGAGGCAGGTCCTGGAAGAACACTGCTCCTGGGTGGGAAGGGCTGCTTCCTCAAGGCCCCTTGTCCCTCATCTGGGCCACAACCCTGAGGGGTGGATGGGACAGTCCCCTCCCCTGGCCCCAGGAAGGAATGCGCGCTCACCCGGGGATGCCGCCGGCCTCCATCTTGTTGGCCACGGTGACATCGGTGGACCACACGTCGTACTGCCAGCGCTTCTGGCCCAGGACACCCCCCAGCACGGTGCCCGTGTGCACCCCGACTCGCATGTCCACCCCGGTCTTCGTCTTCTCCCGTACATACCTGCCAGGTACACACAGAAAGGAGGAGGCGTCAGGCCTGCCCACAGCCAGGTGGCCAGCCCCCTCCCCAGCCCCCCAGTGGGAGGAATTCTGCACAGCCTTCCTCCCCTCCAGGCTACAGGGCCTACAGGCTGCCCCCATTGCTTTCTGCCCACATCTGAGTCACCCACAGCTGGGGCTACAGCAGGCAGTGGCCAAGGCCAGATTCAGCAAGCACAGGCCAGTGTGATTCGGGGTGGGGATGGAGGGGCAGGAAACAGCAGAGACCCTCTGCCCCCGAGGGGCCTCCAACTGTTCTCTTGCAGCCATCCGTTTACTCATTTGTGCAGCTAACCTTCATTGAGGGCCTACTACGTGCCAGGCCCTGCACTACGTGCTGTGTGTGCAGAGGGGAGGATCTCCAGGAGGAGACAAACACGAATTTCAGCACTTTGCCCAGCAGTGATGGGAATAGAGGTAAGAGTCTCTAAATCCTGAACTATGGCCCCAGGGGAAAGGCAGCATCTGCTTCTTTCCAGCCAATCCTAGAGGGGGCTTTAACCTGGAAGACAGTAAAAATGCAAAACCACCCCCTTGGAGATGGTGGCGCAGCACACACCCAATTCCTGGACTCAGCAAGGGGCTTGCGGGGGCTGATACCACCCAGGGCCCACCAGAGGCCTTGAGTCGATGGCAGGGAGCACCCCCCCGCACCCCACCCCACCCCCAACCAGGGATCTCCAAGCCCACAGGTGCAGTGACAGCAGTGGGGAAGAGCCGGGGAGGCAGAGTTCACCACCCTAGAGGCTCACAGTGGTGCAGGCAGGAGCCTTGGCCGGAGCTCAGAAGCCAGGGTTCCAGTCCCATCTCTGCTGCCCAAACATCTCGTGACCTCAGCAGTCACTTCACTGCTGTACTCGGGCTTCCTGATCCAAGAGATGGGCATGGAGATCTCTGAGCCTATCTGTCCTGGGGGGTCATGATGAGAAAACATGGAAAGAAGAGATGGGGGGGGGGGACACTGACCCCGACTCGCATGTCCACCCCGGTCTTCGTCTTCTCCCGTACATACCTGCCAGGTACACACAGAAAGGAGGAGGCGTCAGGCCTGCCCACAGCCAGGTGGCCAGCCCCCTCCCCAGCCCCCCAGTGGGAGGAATTCTGCACAGCCTTCCTCCCCTCCAGGCTACAGGGCCTACAGGCTGCCCCCATTGCTTTCTGCCCACATCTGAGTCACCCACAGCTGGGGCTACAGCAGGCAGTGGCCAAGGCCAGATTCAGCAAGCACAGGCCAGTGTGATTCGGGGTGGGGATGGAGGGGCAGGAAACAGCAGAGACCCTCTGCCCCCGAGGGGCCTCCAACTGTTCTCTTGCAGCCATCCGTTTACTCATTTGTGCAGCTAACCTTCATTGAGGGCCTACTACGTGCCAGGCCCTGCACTACGTGCTGTGTGTGCAGAGGGGAGGATCTCCAGGAGGAGACAAACACGAATTTCAGCACTTTGCCCAGCAGTGATGGGAATAGAGGTAAGAGTCTCTAAATCCTGAACTATGGCCCCAGGGGAAAGGCAGCATCTGCTTCTTTCCAGCCAATCCTAGAGGGGGCTTTAACCTGGAAGACAGTAAAAATGCAAAACCACCCCCTTGGAGATGGTGGCGCAGCACACACCCAATTCCTGGACTCAGCAAGGGGCTTGCGGGGGCTGATACCACCCAGGGCCCACCAGAGGCCTTGAGTCGATGGCAGGGAGCACCCCCCCGCACCCCACCCCACCCCCAACCAGGGATCTCCAAGCCCACAGGTGCAGTGACAGCAGTGGGGAAGAGCCGGGGAGGCAGAGTTCACCACCCTAGAGGCTCACAGTGGTGCAGGCAGGAGCCTTGGCCGGAGCTCAGAAGCCAGGGTTCCAGTCCCATCTCTGCTGCCCAAACATCTCGTGACCTCAGCAGTCACTTCACTGCTGTACTCGGGCTTCCTGATCCAAGAGATGGGCATGGAGATCTCTGAGCCTATCTGTCCTGGGGGGTCATGATGAGAAAACATGGAAAGAAGAGATGGGGGGGGGGGACACTGAGAGGAAAAGAAAGCAAATGGAAGGTGGCAGAATTTCATGATGACTGCACCTTCCAGCCGAAAAAAACTAGTGTGGACTAAAGCTAGAAAAGGATCCCCTGGAAGCTGCAGTTTCCCTCAGCTGTGAGGAAGGTAAGCCTAGCCCGACTGCCCAGAGCCTGGGACTGACCATGCCGCACCCACCTCATCCCCTGACGAGCCCGGCTCGGGGGCCTCGGGATGCACAGGGCCCACCGAGACAGAGCAGCACGGAAGGCGTGCTGGTGCCAGAGCCGGGACCCACGCTCTCCCCACTTACGAGATGGCCTCCACCATGGCGAGCCCCATGAGGATGGAGCAGACGGCGTGGTCCTCGCGGTAGTCAGGCAGCCCACAGATGCAGTAGTAACAGTCGCCCAGAATCTTAATCCGCAGCTGGTGGTATTTCTGAAAGGGCAGGTCCTGAGTGCCTCCTCGGCAAGGGGGGGGTGAGGGGCAAAGAAAGCAGAGGACTGACGGGTGGGCGGAAGTCCTGGGAGCCGGAGGAGGAGGGGAAGGCCCAGGTCACAAGGATGGCGGCCCCACCCCTCCCCAGAAAGCTGGGCGAGGATCGGGGTACTTACGGCCGCCAGCTTGTCGAAGCGGGCAAAGAGCTCATTGAGGAGCTTCACGAGCTCTTGGGCGCTGCAGGCTGAGGACAGCTGGGTGAAGCCCACGATGTCGGCAAACAGGATGCTGCGGAGGGGGAGGCAGGCCCCAGCGGTGAGGACACCGGCGGCAAGCGGGCTCCACGCCACCCACCGCCAGCTCCCGCTCCAGCCCTCAGGCGGCCAGGTCCCCGCTCGAGCCCCGAAGCGGTGAGACCCTGACACGTGCCCGGCGCACTCAGGGCTCTGGCGTTTAGCTTATCTCGCAGGTGGTGTCTGTACAATGACGGGCCTGGACCACGGGACCCATCTCGGCCCCAACATCTGGCAGCAAGGCGGCCCCTGCGGGGGCTGAGGTTCACACTGTGGGGTGGCCGTGTTTCCAGTGCCTGGGAAGACTCTCGAACCCCGCAGTGCTCCGCCGACCCCCCCAAAGCCCCCGTCCTGCGCTCGGAGCCCAGGCCTGCAGCCGGCGCACCTGACATTCTCGTGGCGGTACATGTACATGGTGTTGAACTGCTGCTGGTCCTTCTGGCTCTCGTCCTTTTTCATGTCCTTCAGCATCTCGTCTGCCACGTGCTTGGGCAGGATGGAAAGCATAAGGTTCTCCTGTGGGGGAGGAGAGACTGAGTGGGGAGGGCAGGGGCAGGCGCGGACACTCTGGGAAGAAACGCCCTTATCCTGGTGACAGGTGTCAACCAGGAGCCAGGTGACCCTCCGCAGAGACCTTGCGGTGCACGCCCCTCACTGGGAAGCAGCCAGAGGCCCAGGACAGGCCGCCTCCTTCCCTGAGCAGACGCAGTACCGGGACCGGAGCGCCTTCAGAGCACGGACAGAGCTCAGAACCCCGTGAAGAACCCCAGGCTTGGCTCTGTGCCTCCAAAGCACCCCCAATACCACAGGAAGGGTGACAGTACCTACGTGTGCCCTTGAGGGTAGGGCTTCTGTGTGACCCACACCCCACGTTGCACAGGGCCATCACTCGAGAATCCAGATTCAATGTGTCTGGAGACCTACAACGTGCCAGGTACCACGCTAGGTGCCAGGCTACAGAGACGAGTGAGTCCAGGACGTGCCTTGGAGGGCCCCGTGCAGGGCCGCCCTGCAGGCAGATGCTTGGTGGCTAGTGGGCTGAGCCTGTAACTCAGAAGCCGCGGGTTAGACCCAGCAGCAGGAACAGGAGAGAGGAGACAAGTGACGGTGGGGGTGCTAGAGGGTGGGTCAGAGGAGGGGGAAATGCAGGCAGCGGCAACTTGTCGGGAAGGAACTGCCCTGTGCCCCCGGGAGGGGAGGGAGGTGACGGTGGTGCCCGCTGGAGGACGGTGGGAGAGGCTGAGGGAGAACCTCAGGTGCAGGTCTGCAGGATGGAAACGGTAAGGGAGCAAGAGAACTGCGCTAATGGCGGGGAGGCGACTAAACCGAGGCCCGCGGGATGAGGCAGCGGGAAGTGAGGTCAGCCTGGGAAAAGTGTGGGTGCAGAAGGAGGCAGAGGGGACTGGGGGAACAAGAGATGTGGCTGGAGGACGCAGCCTTTGACCCCGGGGTGGAGCAGTTCCGGGTGACCAGGCCAGTGCTGCAGGGTCAGCCGCTGAAAGGGGAGGAGGGGACGGGCGGGGCGCGCGGATCCGGGAGTGCTATGTCCAGTTACCTAGGGCCGGGAGCTACCTGGGGCAGGAGGGGTGGCCAGAAAACCAAGACCCGCGTCCTCAGCACCTGGGGTCTGACCAGGGGTCAGGGGCCACAGTGAAACTCAGGCTGCAGGTCCCAGGCCTCAGCAGTGACGCCAGCCCAGCGGTACAGGAGCGGGGACACACCTCCACCACGGGCCTGGACTCCTTTGTTGTGTTCAGTGGGCCCTGAGGCCAGAAAACCCAGCTCTACCCGCCTTTCAGACACAGCTGCCCTGGGGTAGGAGCCTGAGGCGTAGAGGTCGACTCCTCTCCTCTGGTGGGCGCAGGCAAGAGGCCCCCGGGAGTCTGGCGGCGTACCTGGGCCTCTGTCCCCCCTGAGCCAGAGGACTGGGACCTCAGCTCCCCTGGAGAAGATGGCTCAGCGGTGGGCGCGGCCCCTCCCTCCTCCTCCTAGGAAGGTCCGCAGGCCAGGAGCCCCCCACCTGCTCGCCATCACACAGGGAGGTAGGTCCCTGTGCCCTATCTCTGTTCTCACGGGGAAAATCAATCCTCTTTCTTGCGGTGAATACCACCGTAACAAGGTGAGCCCCCTCTGCTCAGCATGCCTGGCACTGGCTCTAGCCTGAAGCATGGACAGTGGTTATTCCTATTACCCGTCCCATTTCCACAGCAATGTCTCTTCCACTGTTAAGAACCTCGCGGGTGGCACCATTACAGCTCAGGAATGAGAAGCCAAAATAACTCCAGTGTGCCCTGCCTGGCTCCACCTGAGCCCAGGAAGCAGCAACCGAGCCTCCCGGGGCCCTGCAGCCCAAGCAGAGCAGGTGGCAAAGCTGCTGCGGTGGCAAAGCTGCTGCGGTGGCAAAGCTGCCGTGGTGGCAAAGCTGCCGCGGTGGCAAAGCTGCCGCCGTGGCAAAGCTGCCACCGTGGCAAAGCTGCCGCCGTGGCAAAGCTGCCACCGTGGCAAAGCTGCCGCCATGGCAAAGCTCTCAGCTTGGGAAGAAGATGAGCCTCCGGGAGGATTTTCAAGAAAAGCCAGAGACACGAGGCCCTGCGTGCTCTCGAGGGTGGCCTGTGGAGAGAGCTGCTGGGGTCCTGAGCGGGAGAAGGAGCCAGGGCTGAGGGGCAGCAGTGAGGGCTGGGGCAGGAATCCCAGGGTTCCCAGCCCGCCCCACGTGCGGCCCTGCCCATGCCAGGCTGGCAGGGACAGGGTCCGACCGCCTGGCTCAGACCCGAGCCCTGCCACTCGCCGCGTGATGCCAGGCCATCATTAAACTTCCCCGTGCCCTGGTGTCCTCGCCCGTAAAACAGGAGGGCTGAGTGACTCGTTACCATAAAGCACTTAAAACGGTGTCCGCACACGGCAAGTGCTCCATATACTTTAGCTGTTCTTGTGTCATTTGATGCGAAGTGTCACTGAGGCACTGAGACAGAAGGTGTCTCAGAAAGACAAGGTCTAAACTTCCCCTGGGGCTTCCAAGCTGGCCATAGATTTATCATTGAAGAGCTCCAGAGGGATGTCAGGGTCAGCAGGAAACCTTCTGGTCCCTCGGCCAGGCCCTGTGAGCTCTGTCTGGTCCAGACAGGATGATAAGGGGACACCAAGAAGGATCCTGCCTTTCACACGCATCTCACCCTTTCTCCCCTCAACGTGCATGCGGGATACATGCCAACACAGGGAAGAGGCAGACATGTGAGGGGGCTTGGGCAGGGCCTGCAGGCTGGGAAGAGCAGAGGGGGGCCACAGGACGCCGAGAAGCAGGAAAGTCACAGCGTGGCGGGGCCTGCCTCAGCAGCCACCCCCGACACAGGCAGGCCTTTCCCACGCCCCCCTCAGGCTCTTCCACAGAACTCTGTCCTCCCAGAAAAGCCACTCAGCTCCCTGGGAACCTTGGGGACGTCAGAATGCAATGCAACCCTGTGAGGTGCCCGTGGCCCAATTTCCCTGGAAACAAGCTGGGCCTCCCCGGAGGCGACCCGCACTGCCCTATCCTAGCATGGCCTGGGCTCCAGTACTGTCAACAAGGGCAGGATAAAGGCAGCAGCAGAAGCACAAAGCAGGGCAGCCCTGACACCCAGAACCCAGGTGCCTAGGAGGTCCACAGAGCACGGAGGCCATGAGCTTATCTCTGGGGGTGCCACGTGGGGAATTTTCACTTTTTGCATCACGTTATTCTGTAACTTTTTGCAAGAGAAGAGATGAGTTCTGGGACTTCCCTGGTGGTCCAGTAGTTAAGACTCCGCAATCCCAATGCAGGGGGCCCGACTGATCCCTGGTCAGGGAACTAGATCCCGCATGCATGCCACAACTAAGGAGCCTGGGTGCCGCAACTAAGGAGCTGGCGAGCTGCAATTAAAAAGCCTGCATGCCGTAACTAAGACCTGGCGCAGCCAAATAAATAAATGTTTTTTTTAAAAAAAGAGAGAATAGACGAGTTCTGAAAGCAGATAACCCTTAAATGTCAAATTTTCAAATAACAAGAAAGCAGCTGTGGTTGTAAATGAAGGCTACCAATTGACCCGTGTGGTATACGGCAACCCTATGGTCAACCTCAAAAGGTTAGCAGGCAGAGTCCACCTTAAGTCACTCTGATGAGTCTTAAATAAGAAATAGGCATACACAGAAAAAAGAACAAACAATTTGTCAGATGAGAAGAAATGCAACTGGCAGCTGCCACGGGACTGGACAGGAAAGAACATTCTAGTAGGTGGAGGGCAGGGGCAAGAAAGTGGCCAAGTGGGCAGCGAAGGAGGGGCCGGGCCCACGTCGCAACCCCAGGACCTTTGTGACAGCCAGGCTCTGCTCCCCTCCCCCGCCACCTTCCACGTCTGAACTTCACACCCATGGATGGCTCCCCACCCGTGTGCTTCTCCGCGGCACCGAGGCCTCCTCCCTGTGACACCCACCTGCCTTCCTGGCCCCAGCTCCCCCTGATTTCCTCGGTGGCCCCTCCTGGGTAGACAAGCAGGACTATTTGCTTTTCTCTGCTCTGGCGTCACTCTCTCTGGAACGGCCCCTCCTCACCCACCTGCCACCTCTCCAGAGCCCCCGGCCCCTGCCCAGGTGTGCTCATCCCCTTCCCTACCTACACCCACTTCATCCCAGTGTCTCTACAGATGCTGACTTTGTTTGCCCTTACACTTCAGAGGTTCTCAACCCATTCCTGGATCCTGGCCTCTTTTAAGAGTGTATGATGCTAATGATGGATCTTCTAGAAAAATCCTCACACACACACACAGAGGATCCTTGACATCCATTCTCAGAGTCCAGGCTGAAGACCCCAACACCTCCCTCATCCATGTCCTTGGAGAAGGAAGGAGGCTGGGATCCAAGTGCACTTGCCTGGTGGGTCCCACAGAGGGCACAGGGGTGGACAGGACAGGAGCCACCCAGGGCATCCTCGGGGCCCAGAGCTGGGGGATGTGTCTTGGTCTCCCCAGCAGACAGGCAGAGCCTGCTCTCACTAAAATAGCAGTTGCTATATGTTTTGGGAGTCATAAGAATGTTCTAAGCCTCTGACCCATTAATGGCTCTTCTGGGAATTTATCCAACAGAAATAATCCAAAAGAAGTAAGAAGATTTATGTGTAAGAAAACTTTAATGCAGCATCACTTACACTTGTGGAAAAAACTATAAGCAGCCCAAATGCCCAGAAAATGGATAATTAGATTGTGACACATCCTCTGGATGGAAGATTATGCAACCTTAAAAATGATATTGGTGAAAACTGTTACAAGAAAATGATGAGAGAGAAAAGCAAGACATGAAACTGTATTCTGTGAAGGTGACGGCAGAAGGATATACGCAAGACAGAAAAGGGTAACAATGTGAGAGATGGAATTAAGAGAAAACTTTACATGCTTTTCAAAACTGCTATATGGTTGTTATACTGCTGCTGCTGCTTTTTTAAAGTATGTTTTAAACTGGAAATAAACACAAAACTTCCTGTTGCCTCCAGCTGTGACCCTGACCCCAGC